TTATAATTGAGGCAGGGAAGGAAGAGGGCAGGTGAGAGGAATTACTAATTAGGGAGGAGCAAGCAGGCCAGATCATGACAGTCATGGGTTGATCGAACAGCTTCTGTTGAGGGGGTTGGTGCTGCTGTGTTGCTGGAGATGGGCTGCATTGATCTGATATTGTAGATACTAAAAAGAGATAAGGGGAGAGAAAATAGTTGATTAAAAAAAACTAAGTGTTCATATAAGATGCAAGGATAACTAACATATAACAAATGGATAACATATAACATATAACTAACATATAACAAATGGATAACAAATGGCTCACTGTGACTGACCTGCCAGACTGCTGATAGTTTGGAAGAGACCACTTGTTGAGATCTGTGGGTCTGTAGTTCTGCCTGTGTCTGATTCTGTAAGTGTCTGTCTATGCCTGAGTTGTTTGTACACAGTGGCTTTTTTCTTTTTTGCAGTTATAACAGCAACTTCCTGTTGCCCATGCTATTAAAAAATGTCAATGACTTGTGACTTCTTGTGCTCTTTGTCATCCAGCCTCACACAGCTTCTTTTGTTTTGGTCTTAACCTCCTCTCCTCACGAGGCATCTCTGCAAAATGAAAAATGATCCTTAAACTACAATCTGATGCACATAAAACACACACACACACACATTTACATTTCATACCTTTTAAAAAAATGTACTCACCACTAATTTAATCCAGTAATAATTTGCTCTTTATTATTCCTAGTGCTATAAAGTAAAAATCAATTAAAGGATGTAGAGTAATATATCATTTAAAAAATATTCATTGAATAAACATTCACTTATTCAAATATTTTTTTGCTTTTATTTAGTTTGACTATTGACTTTCGGCATGACATCAAGGGTCTAAAAGTTATATGATTTGTGTGCATATTAGCCTCTATGGGCCTATTTAATTTTTGTGTAAATAAATGAGAGGTTTAGAAAACTCAGATTCTACCATTATTGTTGTGTTTATTCTGCATAATGCAGTTTAAGTGAAATCANAGATTCTACCATTATTGTTGTGTTTATTCTGCATAATGCAGTTTAAGTGAAATCAAGTAGGACAAAACAGCTTGACAGTAACATAACACATCATACTGTATCTCTCTAATGCACTTTGCTCATGGCCAGAGAAACAGACAGTAAAAATCTGACGTACTTCTTTTCCATAGTAAGCTTTGCATGTGAGGTCAATCAGCTGCTAGTAGCAGGGATGCGACAACTGTAATACAAGTTATTTTACCGCGATTGCACCTGCGTTCCCTCCAGTTCGGTCGGGCCGGCATACTATAGTGTATACCCACTTTTTGCGCCGCTGACAAGCGGCTATAACTTGTGAGAGGTTGGTGTGAGCCAGGGGTGGAAAGTAACAAATTACATTTACTCAAGGTACTGTAATTGAGTACTTTTTATGAGTAATTTGTAATTTTCTGAGTAGTTTTTGAAATATGTAATTTTTACTTTTACTCGTGTGCTCTAGAATTTAACTATAGAATCACAACACTCGAGTAAATTTTAACCTAAGTAATTTTACCTCGCTACATTTAAAACCCCCTCACGTTACTGAGTAAAAAAAAAAAATACTGATGATGAAAAAATTAAATGCGGCCGGAAATTTAAACCCCTGTGTCACGGAACCGACAGTCGCCATTAAAAAATAGAAGAAGACTTTTGACTTTTAACAGCACTTTATTTACACAATTCAAACATATAAACAATTGATGTAAACATAAGTGACAGTTAAAAATCCCTTTTAAAGTAAAACAAGT